TAACATTAAAAAAAAAAAAAAAATTATTTTCATGCACTGCATAGTCGACGCTAGAAAAAGTAAGAGTTCATGTTCCTTTTAAGGTCAAACATAGGATTGAGAAATGACGCAAGGTACTATCTTCACTGTATTTGGGAGTGGAGATAATGATAATCTGTACACGGCGCTTGTCTCCTAAACTCGCTCCATGGTAAAACGGTCTCAAAAAAAGACCCTGCAGAAGAACGCCCATAATAGCGGGAATACCCTGATGAAGTTTAAGAAAAGCAGGACAAACTTTTCCCGCCACTTTAGTCAAGCGAACGCCGTAGAGGAGGCCAGTCCCTTCTCGCCTCGTTCCCCCTCCTCTCCGGCGTTGGCTCTGCTAAAGTGGAAAGGGTGGAGCTTCGCGGGAGGAACTTGCAACAGCGTATGACAGTGAATTCCCACAGTAATTATGTTAGAACTGCAAAGCCGCGTCTTCATAGTCCAAACTACACTTCCTGATATCCGAAAGTGGTGAACGCGTGCCGTCAACCTGTTGTCGCTTTTCCTCTCTTGTCTCGGAGATTATAATCATACTGTCACGGTGTTCACGTAATAGGTGACTGACGAAACACAGCGCTTCACCTATGAGTATACTGAGAGCTGAAGACAACATCTGGCCAGCACGATGCCAATGTACTCTGACGGGAGGAGGCAAGTTGGGCTGCCCTTCACTTGTAGTTCGAAGAGAACTCTGGTTCGTTACTGGAAAAAAGGTATATTGTCCTATATAAAAAGGTCGATATATTTAAATATATATACATATATGCGGGAAATATTTGTTCAATTTACACAGTTTCAGCTGATCGGACTTAAATTAAAAAGCTCCGCAATAGGCTTTTAGCATTTTTGTTCAGAAGTGAAGAGCTCCTCGCTACCCGCTCATTCTAGAAAAGTGTATTCATTTACGAATCGGGCGACAGTAATCATTGGAATACATCGAATCAGAGCGACTAATAATAAAGTTTTAATATCATTAGGATGTTAACGATTTCGGTCGGTTGTTTAACTGGCTGAGAAACCAACGTGACGGATTAACTGGCTGAGAAACCACAAGGGTGAGACTGCGCACGTACCCTTGATTGCCCGTAATTTGCATTGCTAAAGTGCCCTAAATACAATGAATCGAACTAACGAACGAACAATAACGGTGCAATTAATCACTCCAAAGCACGCCTAAAGAAGTGGTATTCGTTAACAAGCACTCTTTTATTTCTATTATTTTTCTTTTTTTGTTAGCTAGACGTGACCGTTGATATTACTACGCCTTGCTCATAAAAAAAAAAAAAAAAGGAATGCATGTCCACCAGAAGTGGTAATCGCACCACTAAACTGCGTCGAATTAAGAAACTCGTACAATAGCTATGACTTTAGTCTCAGCTGCCACAAATTAAAATTGCCACGCCGTCGTAAGGTATAAATCCTCATTCCTCAAAACGCGCCCAGTTTGTAACTACGACTACTAATGCAACAATTTGCTTTAACAAGCAATAAAACCTGTTAACGTTAACCAAGCTATTTGCTCTTAATCTTCGTGACATCAAATTTAAATCCCCACGCCTTCAAAGGAGACAAATGTGCACCCACATAACACTCTTAATTGCCCCATTTAACTTGGTCCACAAGCCGAACTACCGCTCATTAACAAATACCGCTTCTCGGCCACGGTTCGCATTACTGCGCCCTCGCAAAAGCGGAAAAGGGGAAAAGGGGTGAAAGCTAAACACACTGCGACAGCATAAATATACCTGTTTTTTTCTCATTTTTCCCCCCTTGCCCGTTTTTCTGTTATATGTTAAAGAACAACTCTTAACGGATGGATCGTACATACAAGATACGCGAAAAAAACGCCCTTCGTCTCGCTGCGAGCTGCGATGAAATCAGCTAAAGAACCGCGTCAAGTTGCTCTTCTTTTCCTTCGTTTCGCGCGCGCGTGCATTTTGATAACAAATATTGTACCATCTGAACGCAGGTCACATAGGCGTGCACGCCCGCGCGCGCGTATGCCACCACAGATATACACGAATAGAGATGTGGCGAAACTGTAAAGGTTCGAGATCGATCAGGTTCGACTTTGGTTCGAACCTTTAACGCCAAGTTCGGCGGAAGTGCGACCGAACGTTCGACTGTTATCCGCATGCGCGAAAATTGAGAGCGAACTGACGCCAACATTTGTCGGGTTCGTTTCATCGTTTCACTTGTGACTAACAATTTTCAGAAAAAACGGGGCGTGGCTTGGAGTGCACGCGCCTTGCTTCGTGATTCAGTTTTCGACAGAAGTTGGTCCATCCCGTAGTCATTCACACGAGTAAGCTTACCAAAGCAACAAGAGTACACATATATTGTGTAAAACATTGGTAACCATTCTACAAAACAAGAAAATATACAATCTAAGTTGCTCTTATTATTATTATTATTATTATTATTATTATTATTATTATTATTATTATTATTATTATTATTATTATTATTATTATTATTATAGATTTTTTTTATTGTGTAGAAGTTGAGCAACACGGTTCATAGGTCAAACTACGTCGAATTTCTTTTTTTTTTTTTTTTAGAAGTTCGATGGTTCGCCGAAACTTCCGAACCTCAGGTTCGACAAAACAATTCGCCACATCCCAATACACGAGTGACCTCAAGTTTGAAAGATGGCCTCCCCGCCCGTGAGCCAAGCGGAACACCTGTATATCCAGACGTCGGCAGAGAAGGGACAAGTTGCGACACGGGGAGGAATACACGAGCACCCGATCAGAATCAAACTTTACGTCGCGCCCCACGGGATAGGTTTGCCGACCTCTACTACACCATGTGGCGCCTGGAGATGTGGACAGATAAGTGAAAGCGACGACTTCCAGACGCTAGCTCGTATTTGCGAATGGGGCTATGGCCTGATAGGGACAAATTACTTACGAATCGTGTTTAAATTACCCTGCCAAATACCAAAACAAAACAAAAAACACTGTATTGGATAAAGCGAAATTGGTTATTTACTCGGGGTCGTACTGATTTGTCGATTTCAAAAAGTTCAAGCCTTGTATCGGCGCGTGTCCGGAAACTACGAATCTGCAGCGTGATTAACTCATAAAGTATCAGCAACTCTAATGAACTAGATGCGTTTCTTCTCTTTTTTTTTTTTCGGTAACGAATTAACACGCTCCAGCACTAAAGAGAAAATCTGCGCCAAGTATACATGCCAGAAAACCCGTTTTGTTAATTACCGCGTCAAGTGATGGAAAACAGACATCAACTGCAGAACAATTGCATCTGTATAACTATGTTATGACCTTCCAATATTTATTTGTCTCGTATTTCAGCAATTATTACAAAAGTCTGTTTTAGATAATTAAAAATAAAACATATTCCAGCAATAATTATCCGTAATATACTTGCTGAAGAAATATGAATCAATAAACATTGACTCAAAGACAAAAAAATCTATCTTCAAAATGAGAAATTCAGAACAGCAACTAAAATATAAAATCTGAAGTCTTGCACCACGAAAACACAATTTTAGCACTTTTACAAGAGAGTCACTGGCTAAAATATTTATTCCTAAAATTAAGCCACTCAAATTAAGTAATATCTTCAATCAATATAATCAATACTGTTTAAGTACCAAAGACTCGAAATGATTATGTAAAAGGAAGGTCCAAAGAACCTAATTAGGGAATACAGCAGAGGAAATAACGACGCCTAAAAAGTGTATTATGCTTTATCAGTCCTTCTACAAGATATAAACCACAAAACGAACCCCTCACTCAAAGTAGCTGGTCCTTAACGAAAATGTATTAATTGAGTTATCGATGACTAGTCCATAACTTACTTTGGTGAGACCGAAAAAGCATTCGAGAAAAGCCTTAAAGGAATTCACTCAACACTAGACAAGCCAGAGCAATTCAGCAGAGAAAGTATCTTTTTTAACGCATCGTTCATGCGACAGCCACGCCAACCACGAACAATGGGTTATTGGCTCGAATAAATTAAGCTCGCTAAACACTTCTTCACTGGCTAGAAACGCTCGTCCCTAGATTAACGAATAGAGTAGAATTTAATTAACACCGAACCCACAGAAGAGCTGGTGATGGGCTTTCGAAGTGCAGAAAATAGAACAGAGACGAATAGAGACAAATAGAATAGCTTCCTTTATAACATATAGGCTTCATTCAATGGAATATCGAGGAAGCCCCAAGAAATTGTATACCAAGCTCGGCCGGTAAAAATAAAAAAATAAAAATGAACAGTGGAAAGGAGATATTCCCATCTCAAAGAATTTACATTAAAAATTATAAATATATAGTGTGGCAGTGTAGATGGGTCACGGACAGATTTAACAGCAATAATAATCACAAGAACCAGATATTAGACACACAGTGCGTAGCGAGGGAATAAAAAAAAAAAAATACAAAGTACCTGAAAAGCAAATTTCACTCTAGCCAAATTTCACTCTATCACGTTCAAGTTACATGCATCGCGATTGGGTTTCCGGCGATCTTAACAGCCAATGCCGCAAGCTCATTGGCTGCCGGGGAAAACCCGGGCCATAGGGGTGAAAGATAAAATATATCCCAGCGAATGATGAAGCTCTGAGAGCAATTTAGACTCTGAAAAAAAAAAAAAATTAAATGTGCGCAGGATAAAAATTAAAAAAAGGAAACGGCATCCGCATTGCACTAGCGCACGTCGCATCTTTGCGGTTGGCGACACCCTATTTTACGGTCATTGTCGTAAAATTACGACACTGATCGTAATTTCATTTCTCTATTAGAGAATTTTAGTAGACCGTTCGGACACCTCCGATACCCCGAGAACGATAGGATGCATGTGCAAAGGCGGTGCATCCGGCATTGTTATCCCAGTTATCGGAACGCTCTAGTAGATATTCTCTTTTGTTCCAGTTCGAGAGTTTCATAGCGTACTTCGAAGGAGGACCCCGACGGAAGACAGGAGGAGGCATGCAAAGAGCGACTCACTCGAACAGAGACCGGCAGATGCATGATGTGGAGAGCGAGCGGCGGCGTCGGCGGCGTCGGTGAGCGAAAGTCCCTTCCCGTGTGCACCCTTCGAGACAACTGCTCGATTCTCGTTCTCTGTGAGCGGCCAAGTCAGCCAAGTCCAGTCAGCGGCACCACCACCGGAGAGTACGAGAAGACGGTTATTGCGCTTTTTCTTTTTTTTTTTTTTTATACTTTTGTCAGGAAAGGACGCCGGTTGTTGCGTGAGAAAGAGGGGGGGGGGGGGGGGGGGGGGTGAACAAGAAGGTGCTCGAAGGAAGAGTGAGGGCCGAAAGGGGGACACAAGCGAGAGCGTCAAGTCGTGCATGACACGGCGGCGCGGCTGGCGCGAGGCGCGCGCTGCGAGCAACTCCTCGCTCAAGACAGCAGCGCGCAGAGCAGCCGAGGCGGGCGGTGCGAAGGTCGGGTGCTACGCGCCGAGGGCACGGCGACCCCCGCTTGTTGCATGCTGCTTGCCGGCATTCGCGTTTATTATGTACGCCGCCGCGGCAGCGTGAAGGAATCTTCTCTCCGATCCCGAGCCGATTGTGTACAGAGTGGGTTCTGGAGCAGTGCTAGTGGGCCATCGCTGGCAGCGTGTGACCCGGCGGAGACCCCGTATTTAGGTTCATCGCGAACTCTCTGCGGAGAGCGAGTCGTCTGCTTCTTCCGCAGGAGTTGCGGTGACGTCAGAAAGACGCCGTGCTCTGATTGGCTCTGATTGAAGGGTAGCGGGTAGACCTCAAACATAGCCTCCTATATTTACTGACAAGGCCCGGCAGATCGCCACGAGAAGCGGCCGCCGAAAGGGAAAAGCTGGAGCGGCGGACAACGGATGAGAGGAGAGCCACGTCACTGGCGTCCCGCTGCGGCGAGACGCCGAAACACACTTCTTCGGAGTGAACAAGTCTGTTACGGGTCCTCGCCGCTGCAAAAGGTGTGAGCTGACGTCCAGGCTTTCCGAGAAAGGACTCTTTGATGCTCTGTGCTACCAGATCCTCGCGCTCCAAATCTGCGACCGGGCACTTTATGGCGCCGTCGTCGAACTGCCAGGCTTTGTGAGTATAGAGAAGGCTATGCCTCAAAACAAGCACTCCTTGAGGTCTGGTACTGGTAAAAGCGAGCGTGTTGAAAATAAATATTTATACTCGAAAGAATAAAAACGCCGAGGAAAAGCACAGGACAACCACGTTCTTTCATCTACCGACTATCTTTCAATCAAAAACAGACAAGAGCTCGAAGTTCTGACGTCACCACAATACCTGCAAAAGAAGGAGACAAACTAGCGCTCCGCATATTCTGTTTCGATTAGAGCCCGAACAGCAGCCGACGCTACGAAGGAGCCGATCAAGCGGAGCCAGATGTATGGTGCCTGGAACGCGTCTCCGACTGATGTGTTTACCGCGGCCAAAAAAGTGGTCCCTCGATTTCCGCCTGATGACGTCATAGAAGTGTCATGGTGTCGCCGGTCGCGACCCTGGCGGCGTCCCAACAGTTGTGGTATATATAAGAGACGCCTGTTCTGCTGCAGGTCGCTCTCCGCTGTGACAGTTCACGTAAGCTAGAGCAGCCGGAAGTTGGGACGCCGTGACGACAGCGACACTCGCGTTCGCTCGTGCTTTTTGCCAGCATTTCCATGGCCAACCGCCAGGATCGCGACAGGCAACAGCATGACACTCCGGCTTCTGTGACGTAATTTGTTGCCACGTTGGGACCAATTTTGATGTATGGGCGGGATAAGACTCTAAACACACCAGTCGAAGACGCGACCCAGGCATTATACCAAAAGTGCAGCGTCGCGGCGCTCGTTGTCTCTGTGGGTTTGCCCAGAGCCATTCGCTGGGAAGTATAGGAGACAAATTAGAAGCCGCCATAGGCTGAAAGGGGCTGGGCGTGTTCCAGGGCGTCTTCACAAATTCGAATGTTACCAACCAGAAGCTGGAAATATTACCCTGGCGGTGGTCGCGAGAAACAAACTTGATAAGTGCGTTGGAGTGACTCTCGGGGACTGAAAATATAGTGCACGTGACGTTTCAATCATAGTTATACAGAATCATGCTGGAAGAGTACGACTAGTGAAACGACCGACAAAATCTGTACGCTAAGCACCGAGGGCCGGGAATCTGCCGTCCGAACGGTCACACTCTGTCCGAGCAAAAGAGAGTTGAGCGGCGCATTCGTTTCTTAAATTTTTCTGCATGATCATGATCGAAACATCACGTGCACCCCATTTTCAACCACGAAGGGTTACTACACTTCACTCTTACGCGCTTATTAAAACCAAATACCAACATATATCTTTGATTAAAACAGTTTCTCGCTACCACCACTAGAGGATTTTTTTCGGCTTCTGGTTGGCTGCGAGAGCATGTTGTACCCACTTTCTGCGTCTGGTGCACGCCCTGGCTCTGCCCGCGCCTCCCATTGACCAAACTCTCTGTATACACGGCTCTGGGTTTGCCGTCACCAGCTAAGCAACCCACGTACCAAAAAAAACGCAGGATTGCGGCGAATATACTGCGCGTAATTGGTATAGCCAGTGATAGCAAACATAGAAAGGCAACGTTCGCCGTGACGATGCACGTCTTGCTATTGGTTCTGCCAAGCATTTTTTGCGGGAGTGTATTGTCGTTCCAGATTTTTAGAGTGATGATTGACCAATGTCTGCACTGTTCCGTGGGCGCCGCCATCTTTGTTTATGCTGACGCCTTGCCACAATATTATAGGAAAAGGGGAAAGGGGGGGGGGGGCGCAGCGCTTTTTGCAAGATTACGTTCTTTTTTCTTTTTTGGAAACCTTTGCACATATTGTAGTGCCAGAACATCAGAAACGCATAGTCACGAAGCTCCAAGACCAACACCGATGCCAAGAGTGCTGTAAGAAGCAAAATAATATTGCCTTATACGCAGCCCCTTTCTTCAAATGAGCCTGCGTTTGAGATTATTGCTTCCCAGTCTTTTATCGCCGGGGGCTAGGATTTCGGACACTAGTCTAGAAACCATTTTAGTGGGAACGGTAAGTCGTTGCCCAAGATCGGATCACGTCCAACGACTCTAGGCAAGTCGACGAGCAGGCTAACACTCGAATGGTCGCGCCTCGTCGATCACCTTTCAGAAGTACATTCGTAGGATGTTTTGCTTGTTTCTGCTTTTTCTCTCAGCCAATAAACGTTGCAACCTTACTGCGGCGAAACGCTCTCGCGAAACGTCCTATCAGCGGCGGGCGCGACCACAGTGTCGCTGTGATCGGCATTCGCGATTGGCCGAACCATAGCTACCTGTATAGGCTCCTTGCACTGACGTCACATTGCATACTTTTGAACACCAAGTAAAAGGAGAATAGGGAAGCTGCTTTTGTAAGAATTTTGGGTGACAGGTTAATTTTCTATAATCTTCTGGGAGGAGAATAGCGACTCCTGTGCAAATCCGGGAAGCACAAAGGAGGATTTTGATAAGAGGAGAGCTCCTTCTCCCCCTTTTCTTTGGAGGGCATCGGAAATGACGTCATGTGCAAGCCACGTATAGGCTCCTTGCACTGACGTCATATCGCACACTTTTGAACACCAAGTAAGAGGAGGAGAGGGAAGCTGCTTTTGTAAGAATTTTGAGTGACAGGTTAATCTTCTATAATCTTCTGGGGGGAGAATAGCGACGCCTGTACAAATCCGGGAGGTACAAAGGAGGGTCCTGATAAGAGGGGAGCTCCTTCTTCCCCTCTTCTTTGAAGGGCAACGGAAATGACGTCCTGTGCAAGGAGCCTATACCGATAATGCTACATAGTCGACAGTTCACGGCGAGGCAAATCCTGGTCGTGACGTCACGAACGGAAACCATCGGAGTGCGCCACCGAAACATCTCGGCGCTAACCAACGTTACTAAAACCCTCAGTTAGGAAACTCACCCTTGAAACACGGGCCGCTGGCGTCCACCGAGACCGAGCTAGCTACGATAACAACGTCACCCTTTAGCGACGAGTTGAAACATGCAAGTTCTTTACAGAGCTACTGCGAGATGTACCTGCGAGATGGCGCCACCAGCCCTTGCCCGACTCGACGTGCAGCCCTGCAGTTCCCGGAGAGGACGCTGCGGGAGAACTGGCGGCGTTGCGATCGCCATTAGCTCGGTTCTCGAGTACGAATCGGAGCTACTTTTTTAAAGCAGGCTCTATGGCAGGTTCCCAAATAAGTCATTTTAATAACGTGGCGCTAACGAACAACTACAATCGCCTTCTGCGCGCTGCCATCTTTGCCTACTGGGCTGTAGGACTCGTTCTGGGCATGCGCAGTAGCTCTCTCCAGCCAAATATCAAACGTCGCTCACACTAAAATTCCTAGGCAAGAGCATTTTACGCGTAGCGAGATTTTTTGAAGGGCCGACTGCGTGTCGGTGCAGGTTTTAGGAAGCGAATGGCCGCGGACAGCAGAAGACTGAACTGAATGACGCCATTTTGTTCCAGCGGATTGTGCTTTATCATTTGTATTGGTTGTCGTTGCTTGTAAAAAGAAGCATCAAGGGACTTTAGCTCACACGACCATATCCCAGTGACTCGGCATTTTTGGTTTTAGCTGTAATCGCTACAGCCACCGACAACTCAAGAAAAGCAGGCAGTGGATTATTATGTTCATAATTCTTCTTTCGTGAATTCTTTTTCCCTTCCGGGCGGCCCGTAGCGCTGAAGGTATAAGCACCCGGTTGCATAAACCCGCCTCCGTCGTACGAATTGTATTTAGCTGCTAAGAATACATCTATATATATAGATTTATGTTAAATAAAGGGGAAAAAAAGACACTGGCTAGGTGGCGCAAGTGGCCACCTGAATCGAAGGGTTCAGCCTCATTCATCCATCCATCGATGGTTCCTCGGCATTCTTATCGGCTTACGCAGCATTCTGATTGGCTCCGGGGCGGTAGTAAAGGGCTACTTGTATTTATATTTGCTTCGAATTAGTGTTTCAGGTTGTTTCTTATCGTCGTACACAGGTGAGACTTTGCTGCCTACGTGCCAAACCAACGTAGGGCATCCGGCACACCGGTAAAAAATGACGACTGATTTACACCACCTGGGAACTTTTTTTTAGCGTTAGACCAAATGTATCAGTTATGCATTGCCGACGTCGCAAGAAGCTTCAATAGAACTCTCCTAACGTGCATATTCGTTTTGGCACGATGGTCATTGAAATGTTGTCTGTCATCTTCACGGGTGGAGTACCACATTCAACATACGCATACTCCTGGCATGCTTTAGGCCAGGTCTATACTCTTGCATAAGGAATGAATGGTTAATATTGTGATTACACTCAAGTAGTGCCACTGCACTGCGGTATGGGAACTACATA